GGGGGGTACTCTGACACACAAGTTTTGCTTGCATACTTTTTAGGATGGATAAATACAACTGACGTCTCAAAATTTTATTAACTCATAAATGCCAAGGCCAAATTTTTTGTGTGTAAAATATTTAATTTATTCATGTTAAATATTTTATTATGTCCTTCTGTCAGTTAGTGTTATATCAGTGTTTACTTCACCAATTTTGTTTTATTCATTCGGTGTTTATGTGGTTAATGTAGGTGTGTAATTTACATTTCAGTTTAAGTTTCATGGCCAATTTTCACTGAAAAGTCATAAGCAAACCTTATGGTCTGAAGTGAAAAGTTGTAATACTGAGAAAATAAGTTAGGACATTTTTCAGAAATACAGACTTTTTTCACAGGGTATGCTTTATTCTTAATATTTCTGATTCAACTTCTGTTTGTTAAAACATGGCAAACTATCTTGATATTTAGAATTACAAAGAAAAACATGTCTCTTACAGCTACATTTTGTTGAATGACATTCCCTTGCAAGTACATAATTTAAATCCCTAATCACCTTTGCAAATTTCTTGACACTGTGGAGACAACAGCATCTGCAACTTTTTCTGAAATGAAGTGTCTTTGCAAATCACAAACTATTTTCTTGAATTCTTTTGAGCCAGCCCTCTTATCTTAGTGACAATCTCATTCATACGTCTCTTACTTCTTTCCACCAGTTTTGGATTTTGACACTTGCAAATTTCTCGGTTAACCTCTAGTAATCTTCTTTACTCATCATTGCACTACTTTCCTTCTGTAAGTGCATTCAATAAACTTTCATTTAGATGAATCTCTATAATGTTAAAATAACCAGTGCCCATATAAAAATATAAGGAGTCTTCATTCATTGAACACAGTTATATAAGAATGCAATCAGATTCCATGTGTGTCTGAAACAAATTGAATTGAACACAAATGTAAAATTTAACACATTTACCAAAGATTTCTGAATATTATTCATAGCAACACATATACATGTATATTTTTTAGAAAATGTGTATTTTTTATCAAATTAACCAAAACTGCTGATTATTATGTATACTATCCAGTGATTGTGCCTGTTACTAGCTTTTATCAAATTAACAGTAACACATGTATGTATAAAGTCATCAGAAAAAAATAACTGGTAATTAAATATCCTTTCAAAAGCCTTTTATTTTCAATATTAATATTTCATAATGGTTATTATAACGTCATAAATCTAAGGTACATCTTTTAGCTTAGAGATTGTATAACATAAAATAAACTTGCACAAAATTTTATCAGATTGTAAAATTGTGTACAAAACAACATCAGTTTGTAGGATGTAACTTACCGATACTCAACTATACAGTTCTACTCAGGCATGTAATGATGAAATTTGAAATTTTTTGTTGACATCATGTTAAGGTTTTTGCTTATTAAATTCAGTAACTAGATTTTGTGAAAAAGTCACCGCAAACTGATAATATTATATAATGTTATATAAAGTTCCACTTCACACGATTGCTAATAAAATGTAATTAAAACTGTATAAAATTCCTTCAAAGAGCATTAAAAGAAAACAAATAAACAAGAGGACCAATTAAATTTATTAGCATGTACACAGATATTTATTATTTTTGTAATGATGAAAAAAGTACTTAAAAATATATAATGAAATAATTTTATGTTTGTAATTCAGTTCCTGGTGTTTTAGAAAGAATTATCTTAAAGAACTCTTGAGAGAAAGACATTGATGATGTAGGTAAATCAGAAGTAATTTCTTTGTGGATTTTGTAGTGTTAACTTTTAAAATAGTGATTATAAAAAAATTTTGTATAAATTTTGTTGTATCAAGAATATTCAAGTATATTATCGGTCACATGCATTTTTAATGCCTACCAGTTTGTTTAGTGTACTTGTATCTACCTGTATGTTAAGAAATTTAACATCCTTAGCATCATAAATAAACAACTATCGATTCATCCCAAGTCAAATGTTTATTAAGAAAAAAACTGGTGATGATTTGTACTAATCAGATTCACTGAATTCAGTATGCAAGTAACTTGTATTAATTTTGGGGATAATTATTGTTTATTGTAATATTAATAGTGCAATTCAAAATGTGTAGTAGGAGCAGTAGCAGCGAGGTTCTCTACGGCTGGCGCTGCTTCTATCCCAGTCGCCACGTCCTTCTATCTCCCCAATCTTTCTCTTGAAAATCTCGTTCCTTCATCGCCTTTTCTCTCTCATTTTTCTGTGTTTTTCTTGGTCTGCCATGCTTCCTGTTTCTTTTAGGTAACCATTTTAATATTTTCTTAGGCCATCAACTTTCCATCATCATTTGAATATGACTATACCATCTCAATCTTTTAGCATCAGTTACATCCATTATATCAATATCAATACCCATTTGATTTTTTCTGTCAACGTTGGGTACTTTATCTATTAATGTAAGGCCACAACAGCGTTTCCAACAGTTCATTTCCATTGATTATAATTTTTGCTCTTCACTCTGACTTAAAAACAAACTTCTGAACCGTATGTAGATATGCTTTCAACCAGCATTTTGTACATTCTTATCTTTGTCTAGCTTGTTATTTTTTGGCTATACAAAACACCACTCAATGTTCTTGTCAATACTCTCCTTTGAGAGATCCTATGTTTTACTCTCCTGCACATTCACCTTCCTTTGATATACACATATCAAGGTACTTATAAGCTGTTGTATATACACCTGCTGCCAATTATTAAGTTTGTTTCTTGCAACCCCACAAGAACCTACTCAGTTTGTTACTCTTCTTCTTACTTCTCTGTTTAGTTTCATGTATTGTTCTCGATCATCTTATTGTTTTGTTGAAAGCCATTTGTGGTAAAGATTCTTCTTATTATCTACTAGTGTAAATAGTAATAGTAAAAAAGTGTATAAGGTAAATTAACCTTCCTGGCATTCTACCAAATGCAACTCTTCCCCAGTAATCACATTTACAGGCGTTCTAAAGGTGTCACCTCTGGAAGCGGACATGCCAACTTCCTCATTGAATGTCCTTTCTTGAAGTATCTTTAGGTTCAGGAGAATTGATTGCATCCATCTTTCCTCAAATCACGGTATACAAATATTGTTTAAATAGATAGCAAGCAACACCCCGCCATATTGCAGTAACGTACCACAGCAACAGAATTCATTTGTTTACTATCGCAGTAATGTAAATTTTTGCATAAATCATGAGATTTTATGGTGACTGATAAAATGCTGAACATGCCACATAATGTTACTACTACCTCGTCCAAATTAAAAATCTCTGCTCTGCCTCTATTTTCAACTTTTGGTCTCTGCAGAAATAATACTTATAACATTTCTTGGTATGTTAATAGCTATTTTTGAATATATTGATGAATGTAAATTGCAAAATGTACTGTCGCATGTGATATTCATTTCAAATACTTGAGAGGTGATATTTGATAATTGATCTTCAAACTTCATTTCTTGTTGTAGTGAACATTTTTTCATTAACTGGAACTTTATACTCACAAATATCTGTATAATCAAAAATCACTCTAATTCATTTTAATTCAGATATCACAATTCTTAATTCCAAATTATTTTACAAAGTTTGCTCATTGAACCATGCCAAGCAAACTGGGTTTGAAAACTTGCTGATATTTCCCTTCGAGCTACTCTGATGGAAAACCAGGAGTTCCTGACAGAATACTTGGAAGGCAAAAAAAGGGGGAAATTGTGTTATAAGCAAGTTACATTAGTGTTGAAATGAGTATAATGTAAGTTTCATAGTAATATTTATTTTATATAGAAGAAAATAATTTGTATTCCATCATTTATTTCATTCTGTCTGCAAAAAAAATATTTTTTTTTTCCATGTTTAAATCATCTTTCCAAAAATTAATGGAATAGAGGTAAAAATATGTTTAATTTGAAATGTATCTATGCTGTAAATTTTGTTCTTAGTTACACCGTTACAATACATGATTAAAAATTTCAATTGTCTCTATTTCATATTGTTATCTTGTACTACATCTCAAAACAAAAACTACTGAGTAATTGTTATTTATTGTCTTAATTTATAAGATGCCCAAATGTGCCACATATGTAGATTTAAAAACAGCTGCGTTTTTTGTATATCTGAAGAAACTTCGTGCAACACTGAAGATTATTTGTATTAATAATATTTATGTATTAATATGTATATCCATAATATTAAGCCAAGCCCATTTTGCCTCCCTCCTAATGCTTTTGTAATTGAGTTTTCCGTGTGTTGATAATACCATTGGATGTTTTGTGTGTCAGGCTCAAAGGACAACTGTCCAGTTGAGGCCCCAGGCAGCACGAGGGACTGCTGCTTGCAGGTGGCTGCTGTTGTGCACCAGGCTGATGCTCCCAGTGTCTCACCCTCTTGCCCCTCGCCTCCCCGTGCTTCACCCATGGCCTCCGCCCCAGCACTCACGAGTAAGAGCTGCTTGCTGCCCATGGCTCACTTTCCTTTCTTTTGTATTGTTGAAACTTCATGTATGTGTGCTTGTGATGTAATAGTTAAGATATTTCTAAGATATAAATCAACTTAACAAAGTAAGTAGATTAACTAGTTGAAAAACTAACTCTTGCTTTGTTTTATTGAGTTGTTTTCTATTTTGCCATGCCTCCCTAATTCGAAGGGGTAAGCAAATTCTTCAAATTGTGGTGGATTTTCAGATTAATAAGAAAATAATGAAAATGAATTTTAGAAGTTTAATTACCTACCTTCTTCATAAAGTTAAGTAATATTTATTTTACTTACAGTATTCTAAATTTTAAGGAGACCTTTATTGTCTGTAATAGAAATGGGATGGGTATCAAATAACTCATCTGCAATCTTCAGAAGATAAGGTTTTCTGATGTGAAACCATTATTTGTGTTTTTAAAGTTACAGAACATGACATGGGGGTTTTCTGCTGAGAAATAAATTATTTAATGTTTGAGCGGTTTTGAATTGTTGAGACTGAAGCAATAAGATTAAAGTTCACAAAAGCAATATTTTTGTCAGTTCTACTTTTTCCTAAATTTTCATTTAAATTTTAATATTTGAACAGACAACATAAATTTGTGGTTAAAATTTTTGCTATTTTGTTTCTATTGAAGTCATAAAATCCATTAACATCATTGTAGTTAATATCATTAGGTTGATTGAAAGCCAATAACGATTACAGTTGAGGGTTGTAGAGGTGATAGCAAAGATTTATAACCACACAAATTATTTGTGTTATTGTTACATATGATATTTATATTTTTGTACCATTTGCGGTATCACCATCTTAAAAGAAAAAATAATTAGAAATACCTTTTCTCCCAAAAATATGCCATGCTCAGTATGTACAAGCCATTATACGACTCAGATGCCATATTTTGCAAACAACTCATTCATTGGTTTTGTTTGTTCTTAACATATGATAGTCAAAACAATTCAATGAAAAGAATGTTAAAAGGTCTTCTACAAGGATATTGTCAGGCCAACCAAGCCTCATTTTCTCTTAATGTAATGCAATAAGGAAAGAAAGACAACAAAGAATGTAACAAATAAAGCTGGCTTTTCCCTGCAAAGGCATTTCTGAATGATGATTTCTATTTTTCTGTGTCTAGGTAATTACTTTCTCTAACATGTTATGTTGTTAGAATCCATATGCTGTGGGTTTTTGACACTGAAAAATCGAATGATGTCAAAACTTCCGTCTGTCAGTCAGTAGTCAACGCTAGCGCCTAAACTGTTCCGCCAATTTCTCGAAAACTGATATTTCCCGATCGATGTTAATAAACACTAAGCACTCCAATTTTGAAACGTATAATTTGATTTTGGGGATTACTTTATACGAAGCCTCAAAAAATTTTCAAAATTTTCTCAATCTTGGATCGTAGAATAGCATAGCGAAATTTTGTGAAAACATTGGTTCTGGTCCTATTTTTGTCGAACTGTTTTAGAAATTAAAAACAACGATAAAAGTTCAAACGTACCGCTCCTGGAATTGTCTTAAGGGGGGGGGGGTCCAACAGGACTACCTAACTAAAAAGGAGGGAGGGGCTTGATCATGATCCTCCGAAACTACTAGTTTTCGCGGAATTTTTGCTTGAAGTTTTTAATCTCAAAAACGGCTTCATTGTTTTTTCGTCGGATAGAGTAAAAGACACTTGAAAAATGTCTCAGGTGTAGTTGATCTTACTAATTTTCAAAAATTCTAAAAGTTAGAAATAATGCGTGAACATGCGAGTTGTTGTAGCGCCACTAGTTTCGAATACCCTAATTTTTTAATGTTCATTATTGGGGCTCATTTTACGACTCCCCTTTTTCGCGCGCGGACCTACGATTTCCCCCATCCTCGAAGTCTAGGCAGGATGGCTTGTAGTGCAGTCGGAATTAGCGAATTACGCTATCGCTTCGAGTCTTGGAAATGCTCTTCCAATCTATGCTTTCGAAGCCAAAATAGTGAAGGAAAATAAATTCTTTATTGCTTATATAATGAGGGATACGCAAGTGTGTCATGGTGGATATGGATATAGAGAGCTCTCTCCACCCCACCCCCCAGGTTAGAATACTGTAGTAAATGTTCCAAACTTCTAGACGTAGCATGTAGAGAGGTTGAATTTTCATTACACCAAAGTTGTAACATATACTATTCATAACATTTGTCCCAATTTTGCCTGCGAACCAGCGACAAGTATAACTATCTGTATAACTTTGGTAAGAATTTTTTTTTCCGTTCACTGCCAAAAATGCCCTTCTTCATGACAAGAAGTTTCTAATATTTACATGAATGAACACACTTTTACTTTCTCCTATACGTACGTATATACGGAGTAATATGCGTAGTATAGTGAAAGTTATGTAATGGTGCGGAAAGTAGATTTCGAAATGCTATTGAAAATAAATGTTTTAGGTTCCCCTAAAACCGAAAGTTTTTTTTCCCCCCTAGAACGTCCGCCTCTCCATCTGTATACAGTACTACCGCCTAAACTATTCATAGGACTTTTTCCCCAAACTGATTAAACCCCCTCGATTTCTGCCCCACGTGAAGCTCTACGAATTTGAAAAACTTTCAGTAATTTTACCTTCTCGCACTCGCTAACGTAGGAGGGGAAAGAAAGTAATATTATTGTGAGCCGGAAAACGGCGAATTTTCGACACAAAAACTATTATTGCTAGGCCCGGTAACAAAATAGTGGATAAATACTGTTGCTAAATATAGAAAAAGATCTTCCAACACATGGTGTAGTCAGAATCCATGGGTTGTGCGTCGTCCATACCGAAAAATCTATTGATGGCGAAACGCCCGTCCGCCGCAACGTTAGCGCATAAACCGTTCACCATTCTACAAAATTGATATTTCCCAATCGTTCTGGCTGAAGTCCCGCCCCCTGGAATTTGAAACTGATATTTTTTTTGGGGGGGGGGGTACTTTACATGAAGGCCCTCGGACATTTTCAAAAAAGTTGCTCCAAATTTGTCGGTTAATATGTTTTTTGAATAGTGCGAAGGTCGTTTAAGAGAGTGATGCAGGTGTCATTTTCGTTGAAACACCCGTTTTTTAAAAAATTGCAAAAAAAAAAGTTTTTAAACTACAAAATTGATTTTTTTTACAAAGGAGTAGTTTTTGTTTAATTTACGTTGTTGTTTTTTTCTCAAAAACCGCTCCAAATTTTTTCTTTAAATTTTCTCCCCTTATGTATAAGGGAGATTTCTCCGCTTATCTAATCGAAAAGGGTATTGGACGTATTTTCTAAATTTGCAAAAAAAAAATCAAAACTACAAAATTTAAGATTGAGAGTTTTGCCTCAAAGTCTGTTGTTTGCCGATCCGGTGGCCGAGATGACTAAGGCAGTAGTGCATTGCGATCTCGGACCGAAGGCTCGCGAGTTCGAGTCCCGCCTCGGACATGGTTGTATTGCGTTCGTCCTTTCATCCCCATCATCATCATAATCATCATATCGTGCCATCCTCACAGTTACCATACCCGTTACAAACAATAGTGGTCATTAATGACCTAGAAGTTGATGCGACCTTAAATAACAAAAGCAAGTCTGTTGTGTAAAATTAGTTCTTTAAAAAAGATCCTGTACACTTTTTAGAAAAAAAAACTAGTATTTTTGCATAATTTATATTTGAAATTAATGAAATATATAGGCTACATGCCACCTAGGCGAGAAAAATTGAATGAATGGGGGTGAAAAATAATTAAATTAATTTTAATTATAATTTAGTATTTAAAATGCCAATATTAATTATATTTTTACTTTTTCTCACGTATACTTAATTTGTTTTCTCAATGTATTCTTGTTAAGAAATCCGCAATGCTTAATTGAAATTTCCGCAACTATGCCGCATCGATATTTAAGAATCTCATTATTGTTGAACGTCGAGATGGTGGCGATGAAAAGATAGTTTTTTTTTATTTAGTCGAGCTGGGGGGGAGGGTTAACTCCTAGGCCGAGAGCCAGTACTTCCGTTTGCGATGAATTTCGCCCTAGCTTTTGCTTTTTCTCGTCGGATCAGAGAGAAAGTTACGTAATGCTGCGCGAAAAAACGGCGAATTTTCGGCAGAAAAACTCTTTTGACAGGGCCCTGGTAATGATAAAGTACATAAATGCAGTTGCTTAATTTGGGGAGGGGTAATCCTTGTGGTGTAGCCAGATTCCATGTTTCGTGGGTTCTTCATGCCAAAAAAATCGAATTACGGCAAAACAATTGAATGTTCGTCCGTCTGTGAACAACGCGAACGGATAACCGTGCAGCCGATTTTCTCTAAAATTGATATTTCGCAATCGATTTGACTGATGTCACGGCCTTGAATTTGAAACCGATATTTTAATTTTGGGGGGTACTTTACTAGAAGCCTCTAGAACATGTTCAATTTAGAAAAAATTTCCATCGTTTTTCATTAAATTTTGTTGAGTAGTGTGAAGGATGTTTAAGAGCATGTTGCAAGTTTCATGTTCGTTGAAAACCATGATTTTTCGAAAGCTCAAAAGTTCAAAAGACGTCGTCCTACAACTTCAATTAGGAAAAGAGATTTTTTTCTCTCTTAATGAAATCCGTTCCTTGAATGTAGATTTTTGAGTAAGGCAAGTACAGTGTTTCGAAAAGTTGGGTACTTATCGCGTAATTTTGCGTTAAAATTCAGGCGAGAAAGTACGGGCGGTTTTAGCACCATTAGTCCTCTGAATGCCTGGTAAGATATATTACTCGTATATACCATTTAATATCATCTGATCTCTAAAAAAATTGACTGCATATTGAATAAATGAAAAACGTACAACAAACGTATAACTTCAATAACGCAAAGAAAATTATGCCCACGAATGTTTTTTCATAAGAGCATGTACTAATTTAGACTTCTTTTATTCAAAAACTAGCGGAACCCGGCAGACTTTGTTCTGCCTTTCATTTCCATCTTTATCCTTCCCTCTCCCTTTCTCCGTTTCTC